GGCAGAGCTTACTGCCACCGCCTCCAGCACCTGGGCTCCCAGAGCGGCGCTCCGGCACGTTCCGGCCCCAGAAGACCCCTGGTGGAGAAAAATCACACAATGTGTGTTTATTTGGCCTCTGTATGACAGCCATGGAGCTGTGGTGGCTCAGTGGTTAAGACACTGAACTGCAGGCTGGAAGGTCTGTAGTTCAGCAGTTCGAGACCCGAGTGCCGCATGATGAAGTGAGCTCTCGTCTCTGGCCCTAGCTCCTGCCAACCTAGCAGTTCAAAAGCAAGAAATTGCAAGTAGATAAATAGGTACTGCTTCGGTGGGAAGGTAACAGTGTTCCGTGCGCCTTGGCGTCTAGTCATGCCAACCACATGACCACAGAAATGTCTTCGGACAGCACTGGCTTTTCAGCTTGGAAACGGAGATGAGCCCCGCAACCCTAGAGTCGGATTCGACTGGCTTTTGAGCAAGGGAAACCTTTACCTTTACCTATGGCAGCCAGTTTATTTATTTATTTTTGGGATTTATATCCCGCCCCATCCAGTATTCAGCTTGGGGCGGCTAACAGGCGGCCATGCTGAGATTAGAATATACATACATCAGCATAGTAAAAACAGATATCTAACATAAAATTTGGTGCTCTCATAAATTACATACAATTTCATACAATCCAAGATGGACGACATCCCAAACTGGCGGTCAAGTTATTCACTGCAGAAGCGCCAGGAAGAGTGTTTCCCCAGCTCTGTTGGGCGACATCTGCCCCTGCTATGTGGGGCAGATGGTTGTAACATCATTGGTGGTATAATGGCGGCGGCGGCTCCCCCTCAAAGGCCTGGCGGAAGAGCTCCATCTTGCAGGCCCTGCGGAACTGCACTAGGTCCCCTGGAAGGGATGGATGATGTTTGTGTGCAGCTACATCACAGTTCCCCAATGATGTCCCAATGGCTGCCATGGTTCCCACCCGTGCTTTCTCTGGTGCCCACCAAACTGCTTTAAAGGTAGGCAGAGCCTTTGTAAGGCAGGGTGTTCAGATGCAAGCCGATGCTCAGACTCAACCCACCCCACCAAGGCCCCAGAGTCAGGATTAGAGTTGGCAGGTCCCCCTTGGCCACCAGTGGGGGATGGTGGGCAGGATTGCCGGATCCAGGTTGGGAAACTCCTGGAGATTTGGGGATGGGGCCTGGGGAGGACAGGGACCTCAGTGGGGTAAAAAGCCATAGAGCTCCAAAGCATCCATTTTTTCCAGGGGAACTGATCTCAGTTGTCTGGAGGTGAGCTATAATTCTGGGGGATCCCCAGGTCCCACTTGAAGGCTGGCATTGACGGGAAGGAAGGGTGCTAGGGAACACGCATGCGCACCTGAGGCAGACAAGAGACGCTACAGGAGCCAGCCAGCAGATACCTGAAGAGGACACCCCAGCCAGGGAAACAGGCCTGGCCAGGCCCAGGTGTAGGGGCTATTGGGTGAGTGGGGAGGGATGGATGATTGGCTCTTCAAGGCCAGAGGAGGTGGGAATAAGACCAGAGAGGGAAATAAAAGGTGGGCTTCACAGACAGGCTTGGAGAAGGAAGTAGCACAGTGCTGGAGAGAGAAGCAGAGAGCTGTTCCAGGGGAAGAAAAAAAAAGGACCTGTGGTGCTCAGATGGTATCCAACCTTCCTTAGTTCCGAGGCCTAAGGAGCTCCAATGTAGAGGGCACAACAGTATCAAGGGAGGGAGGTGCCCTTGTGGCAGGGGGTGCTCACAGAGGGCTTGTTAGTGATGATCATCCTCATTCATGAAAAGGTTTTCCAGCAGCAGCCACTGGAGGATCAGGAAGACTAGAAAGCATCCAGGCTTGTGGCTCCACCTCCGCTTCAGGCTTTCTTTCTTTTTATTTGCTCTTCTCTTTCTTCCTTCCTCTCCCCTGGCTTTCCTTGGCTTCTTCTATTCCCCTTCTGAAATGTTTTGCAATTGCAAGTGAGGAAGGAGGCATGGTGTTTGTCTCTGCCTGCTGAGGCAGCCATCTGGGGGTTGGTTCTGCCTCCAGTGACAACCATTTTGAGGTGGTGCTCACCTTCCCCTTCCCAAAATTCCAAAGGTTCTCAGGGTGTGTTCAGATGCGCCGTTTGATCTGGTGTCGTCACACTTCAGCAACAAATTTTATCTGCACGATCACACAGTCAACATCTGCCTCCCATCCCCAGCCGTTGGTTTCCAGCTCAAAACCGCTTTAACCTGGAGTATTTTGTTACCAGGTCCCAAAGTGGTGTTTTCTCAGCTCTCCCGTTTAAAGCCGCATTTTTCCCCTGTGTGGTCGCTCCTCTGGTGTCAAGCCACTTCCGGTTTAAACCCCCTCCCCGCTCGAAAGCTGCCCAAGGCTTCTGCTTTTTGCCCACCATTTTTTTAATGCATTGGCGGTGTGCACATAAGCGGAGCTCCGCTACTGTGTTAAGAAAACTGACATTTAAATGGTCACTTGTTTTAGTGTTTAGATGATTTCAGGATCTCACGGAGGCCATTTTCGGGTAAAACGTTTAAAGGGAAGTCTTTTGTTGCAGGGGTTGGATTGATTTGCCCTGGTGGTTCTGCGCATGTGCCATGATAGTTCCCCCCCCATTCTATGGAGGGGCGCCTATGCACATGTGCAAACTGAGATTTTTTTTTTTAAAAAAACACACCGACACATGCTCCCGCGCGTTGGTAGTGTATACGCCGGAGAGTAACGTGACTGCATGGTGAGGTGGGATAAGGGAGTTAAGTGTGATCACGATTATCCAGATCAAATATAATCTGGTTAGAACCGGAGCAGACTAACCTGCTCTCAGCATGCCTTCTGACCACACCCTCACAGGCTCAAAGAGGCTGGGAACCCCCAAGCTATATGTATCACCCCACATTACTGGGTTTGGATTGGGCTACCAGGATGGCCTTTGAAGACTGGTTTCTGGCCTATGTACGGATAGAAAGGAAAGAAATTTTGGAGGGATGGGAATGTTAACGTGACATATTAAACAATGGATAGTACTTAGAGCAACAGAGAGTAGTATAGTCCACAGTCCCTATACCTTTATCAAAGCATCTTTCTAGAACATTTTGTTAACAGTACAGGCCTAATTACCCAGCCCCTTAAAGTCTAATAAATTTGTTTTGAAATGAGCTTCATAAGTGAGTGACTTTCATCAAATGCATCGTCAGTATTTGAGGTAGCTAATGCCACAATAAGTATGTTAGTTGTTCAACTGCCACAGGATATTTTGGCTACAATAGTGTAATCTAGCTCCCTGTCAGTTGCAGCAGAGAGGCCAAGAATAGGGATGGGTGATGACTTGTGTATAAATCCCAGAGGTGCTCCCTTCAATTCTGGTCCAGCCATGTGAAAGGAAATTTGTGTTGCTTCTGATTGTACTCAGGTTTGTTTTCATCATGTATTCTTACCATTTTGTCAATTATCAAGGTCTGCCTATGCTAGTCTTGCCAAGTCCCCACTCGTGGTGGGGGATCCCCTGCTGCCAGTGGGCACTTCTTGCCAATGCTCACCTCACTGCTGGGGGAAAAATGGCAGGAATTGACAGCATCTGGATGCGCTTACATCACTCCCCATGCTCCTGGGGAGTTTTGCCGAAATGCCAGATCATTCCTGAAGTCCTTCTAGTGATGCACTGATGTCACTCCTGGGTGTATGCAGAGTGATGTCAACACATTGCCAGCCACATCAGTGTGTTGCCAATGATGTCAATTCCCCCTCCCCCAAGCAATGTAAGTCTCCTGCCAGTTGCCGGGGTGGACCTGGCAACCCAAGTCTAAGCTACCAATTTACAGCAGTTTTATTCCATTTTGCCGTAGCTTAACCTGAGAATGATAGTTTGACAAGATTGTAAAAGATTCCTACCTCATGGCATATAATTCCCCAAATCCTTTGGGAAGCGTGGAATAACTTTTAAAAGAGATTATAGTTGTAGCATGTGTCTATTCTGGCTTCCTACCATCACTGTCTCCCAGTAAAATCATTCAGCTAAATGAAAAACCTCTCTCTCTCTCTCTCTCTCTCTCTCTCTCTCTAATTGATAATGCCTCATCCTCTTTCATGACTTCCCGCTGCATGTGCCTGTTCTTGATTTCTTGTTTTCCTTCTTCTTTAACCAGAGAATCCATTGCCCTGGGCACAACAGACTTCACAGAAGAAGATGTGGATAAAATTATGGAAGAGCTGGGCAAGGAATACAAGGGCAATGCCTACCACCTGATGCACAAGAACTGCAATCACTTCTCAGCTGGCTTGGCAGAGGTTGGCTTTCTCTATGTGTAATGCTTTGGGACCTTTGCCATGGCTAGGAAACCCCGTGGGCTGCAACGTATCCAACCATGAGCCAGTCTCTCATCAGAGCATCACGGATTGGTTGCAGACTGTGGAGTGAGGTGTAGGAAGTATCCCAACCCGCACCACTGAGTGCGGCTGAAGCAGGAGGGGAAGGCAGCAGCACCCTTACTGGCAGTCCTCAGGAGGTAGCGGAAAGAGTTGCAGCAGCCATGGCTACAGCTGCACATCTGTTGAGTGGCTAGCAGAACCTAGCACCACCTTCAGTGTCATCGGGCTGCACATATGTCGTTCCACTACCCACTCAGTCGCTGCACACCTGCCCAGTGCTGTAGCTGTGGCCACGCAGCTCTGCCATCCCCTCCTGATGGTCAGGACACTCCTTTCCCTCCCATTTAAGCACAGCGGTGCAGCGGTGCAGGCTGGGATATTCCTTGCATCCCACTCCAGAAGCTGCTGCCGCCGCCATTCATAATTGCTTAAGAACATAAGAGATGCCAATGTTGGATCAGGCCAAAGACCCATCCAGTCCAACACTCTGTATCACACAGTGGCCAGAAATACCAGTGCCATCAGGAGGTCCACCAGTGGGGCCAGGACATTAGAAGCCCTCCCACTGTTGGCCCCCCAAGCACCAGGAAGACAGAGCATCACTTGCCCCAGAGTCCCTATCTATACCTTGTGGCTAATAGCCACTGATGGACCTCTGCTCCTTATGCTTATCTAATTCCCTTTTGAAGCTGTCCATGCTTGTAGCCGCCACCACTTCCTGTGGCAGTGAATTAGATAAGATAAAGACATCTTCTTTTAGGAACGTGGTAATTGGCCTAGAATGTGAAATTAAGTGCAGGTACCTGTCTTCTGTGAAGGCTTCCCATCATGGATCTCCAATGGAATTGTGAGGACAGAACTGAAAGGATCCTGGTGCGCACAAGAACATGCAGTTTATGGTGATGTCATGGCAATGCTCTGAGAGGCGGTGTGCATCAATGGTTAGTGCTCTGCATTTGGAGAACCTGCGCTCTCTTTCTACCTCCACTGCTGAGTAGCCATGAACCTTAGTCAAGTTCTTGCTCCTTCTCCTCTTACTCACGGTCTGTTTCACCTGTCTGTTTCAAGTTCTTACTGGGCATGAGCCTGCCTGTCACTGGTTATCTGATCAGTGAATACGGAGATGCCCCTGTGTTTGTAATAAATAGGGCATTGATACTTTTGGGTTTTCCCCTCCTAATTCTGGCATGAGAGTGCATTCCCAGATCATTTCACAAACCTGCCTTTGGACCATTTTTAGATTCTGCTTGTTAGCATTTGCCTCTTCTTCCCTTCCCGTTCTACCAACAGCAGCCCCTCTGTATGGTCTCTTCTCCCAGTTGCATTTCTTTTGCAGTTCTGCCTCAGAGCCTCTTGCTCTTTTCCTTCTCCCTCCTTTGCTCACTTCTCAATTCTTACCTTGAACTAATTGTCTTTCACTTTATGTCCTCCAAGCCTTCCAGCGTACTGGAAGCACATACTACATCCTATACCCATACTTTTTTTAAAAAAATCCCAACAATGATAAAGATTTATTTCACTAAGGCTGGAGTGTTTAACAGCATTCCATTGCTGACTGCCTCTCATTCCACAGACCAATATTTGTAAATATGTAATGACATTGCAGCATTTCACTGAATGGCTAGAGAAAAGTCACAGAAAGATTATTATTAGTTTTGCATAACTAGTAAGACAAAACATTACAAATAGGCAAATAAATAGACAATAAGGTCTATCCATCCAAACAATAAAGCAAAGTATATATAAAATCCCCATCTGGCTGCCATCCATGCATAAGCTGCTATATGACAGATTTCTGTCATAGCTTTGGGGAGTAGGCCAAAGCTTATGTGTATTGTGCATAAACTGCCATAGGCTTAACTCAGCTTTGAGTCTGGCACTTGCTAAACCCTTAACCCTGTTCACATGTTACAGTGAGTGCACATACAGCCTCCATATACATATGTAACCTGCTTGTAAGGAAGAGCCAATGAGTATTCACTTTACAGAACAAACTGGGACCAGTACTTGACAGTAAGGTTTAAATCTCATATTCAGCTATACATGTGTTTGAGTCAACATGATAATTACTCAACACACGTATAAAGAAAAATCAAGTGTGTACTGTACATGGATTGTACATGCATCTACTGTAACCTATGAACAGAGACTGCTAACCCCCATTGAGTGTCTTTTTGGAATCCAGGAAGACTTTGACCTAGACCCATTTATGCACAGCCTGGAACAATCAGACAGCTGTGCAGGCTAACCCCTCCCCCCAAAAAAACCCCAGTTCTTAAAATGGCTCAATGAGTCAAACCTCATCTCTGTCATGCAAATGCTGAACTCCTGTCCTTTGGTTTCAGAACAAACAACATCTGCCCAAGACCTTTGACCTTAAGGCACTGTAGGTCAGTTGATGTAGGCAGATCTTTCCCCCTGTCCCCTTTTGCAGCCATACAATTTCACAAGCCCGATTTCCCATCCATCCTTTATGCTTCTCCCAGCTGGCCTCTTTGGCGATGCATTCTCAGATGAAGCCTCGATAATTAGGAAATTGATTAGAAACCACAATCCTGCATTATTTGAAAGGCATCCTTATGGAAATTATGGAGCAAGCCTTCTCTGACTTAAAGAGCTGGTCTGTTCCTATTTGACAAAAAATAAAAAAGGATTTGTCCCTTTGCTTTCTACTGGACATCTTTCAGATTTGTAGGGGCACACTAAGTAAGAAAAAGTTATAGAAAAAGTCATATGCTGCTGTTATCTACTGTTATTCTGAGTTATTTAAAAGTTCTGTGGCTGCTGTGAAGCAGATCTGTTTTCCCCTCCCACACTACAAAAGGCAGAAAACAGGAAGATGCCTGAACAGTCATTTTGATGCTTGACAGTGTCTAGTGCTGTAGGTGGAAGAATCATAGCACTTTGTCAATTGGAGCAAACCACCCTTTACCCTGCAGCCATGTATAATGACTCCCCAGTGGCCCCGTCTCCACTGCAAAACTCCCTCAAAGAGGGGCAACGCAGATGACAGGAGGGAAGAGAGTGATTCCACCTTCTGCTGACAGCTCCTTCTTACTCCCCGATGGGTTCTACCCCCATAATTTCAAAGCAAACACAGCTGATGGAGAAGAAAAAGCAGCCCATAGATGGAATTTTCAGGAGGAAAGCGACTGGCAGGAGAAGGCACAAGCACAACTTTCCCTTGTCCAGTGCATACTGCCCTTCCCTGAGGATGCTTTGCAATGGAGAAGATGTTTTGGAGGCTCTGTGATATCTATGGCTGCTGTGTAAGGTGCACTTTAATAAGTCAGGCTGCTCAGGTAAGAGTGGTGGGTCTCCTCTGAAGTCTTTAAGCGTCAGATTGAGATGTGTAGGTGGGATATGTCTTTTTCCCCCTTAAAGGGCCCTGTAGGATTCTGAGACAGAGACTTAAGCATCTCAAGGCATTTTCTAAATTGCCATGTCTTCTCCCCCCCCCAAAGAACCTAGTAGATGCATTTTATTACACTTCAGTACAGAACTGAAGCACAATTATTATTTTGAAGGTTCCTTACTCCTACGTTTGTCTTTTTGGGATTTGATTGACAAAGTCACTTGCAAAACTATTAGCGTCTTTGTGACAAGATCCTCTTCTCTGTCTAGGACACTGTCACAGTGATAGTGATGCTAATCTTTGCATGGAATAACTCATCCAGAATAACCATCACACCCTAGGACTTGTCTGATATGGTGCAGACTAGAATCGCTGCTGAACATGGAAGTATTAAGTGTGAGAATGAAATTCTGCACACATTTGAAAATCTGGTGACATGTCCTTGACTCTGGAACGTGCCCAGATTTTTGGCAAATCACCTTGTTACAAATGGCATAGAAAATATTTGATGGCACTATACATGGATCTTGAATAGATAAGAACATAAGAGAAGCCAATGTTGGATCAGGCCAATGGCCCATCCAGTCCAACACTCTGTCACACAGTGGCCAAAAATACCAGATGCCATCAGAAGGTCCAGCAGTGGGGCCAGGACACTAGAAGCCCTCCCACTGTTGCCCCCCAAGCACCACAAATACAGTGCATCACTTGCCCCAGAGTCCCTATCTATACCTTGTGGCTAATGGCCACCAATGGACCTCTGCTCCATATGCTTATCTAATTCCCTCCTGAAGCCGTCCATGCTTGTAGCTGCCACCACCTCCTGTGGCAGTGAATTCCATGTGTTAATCACTCTTTGGGTGAAGAAGTCCTTCCTTTTATCTGTTTTAACCCGACTGCTCAGCAATTTCATGGAGTGCCCACGAGTTCTTGTATTGTGAGAAAGGGAGAAAAGTACTTCTTTCTCTACCTGCTCTATCCCATGCATAATCTTATAAACCTCGATCATGTCACCTGTCAGCCGTCGTTTCTCCAAGCTAAAGAGCCCCAAGTGCTTTAACCTTTCTTCATAAGGAAAGTGTTCCAACCCTTTCCCAATATGCATGCCTGTAGGAGCATTTCATACCGAATCAACAAATGGGAGTTGCATCCCAGTCATGGATTTTGTTAACATTTTGCAAAGTTATTATATATGTTGAGGTGTATGAAAATTTGTTCAAGGCCACATTTCCCATAAAGCGTGATCATTCGTGTTGCCACAAAATGATGAGAATGTTGATGTTACACCCCCCTCTAAAGTTTAGTACAAGGCCATCTGTGTCCCAATGGTGGTCTTGTTGCCACAAAATGATAAGAGAATGTTGATTGTGTTACACTCCCTTCTAAAGTTTACTACAAGGCCATCTGTGTCCCAATGGTGGTCCAGTCTCATGGATGATGATCTATTGCCACTGGGTAAGTATTCTGATGAATGTCTCATGCTGAATGCAGAGGTGATATCCCAGATAATCATTGCACAGATATAGCCATGGGATTTCTTCTTCTTATAGTCATTTTAAGAATGTACTAGAATTTTGTAAGGCAGTCGAAAAATCTGAGTATTTGAAGCTTGATTACATCAAGAAACAATGCAGACATGATCTAGACAAGAAAGATGGGATGCCATAGAAAACATTCAGCAGACAAGGACTCGTTGGAGAAAAGATGGAAAATCTTTAGGCAACTGAAGTAGTAATCAAATTGAAGGTAGTAATGGAGTGAGAAGGAGACAGTGGGGCAGTCCTTCTGGAGATGTTGCAGTAAAAGCCAACTCAACAGATGACCAGCAGAACAGACATTGCTGGGTTAGATTAATTTTCAAGGATGCAATGTTATGCATATTTACTTGGTGTTTAGTCATGCTGGCCACATGACCACGGAAACGTCTTCGGACAGCGCTGGCTCTTCGGCTTTGAAACGGAGATGAGCACCGCAACCCTAGAGTCGGATTCGACTGGCTTTCGAGCAAGGACAGGCACACACCCATTGTTAGTAAGAAAGCTTAAGGTTTTTTATCCTGTGCAGTTATTTGCTTTATCGCCTCCCCACTGGGGCTGCTATACATAGAATCATGAAGTTGCTTCATGTACCCAGGAGATTTCAGTTTTTTGAACTGCAGCCACTGCATTGCATGAAAGCTATTCCCATGGAGACTGGCTAAGGCAAGGGGTTGCCAGCTCCAGCTTGGGAAATTAATGGAGATTTGGGGAAATGCCTGGGGAAGGCAGAGTCTGGGGAGAAGAGGGACTCAGTGTGGGATGGGATGCCATGGAGCCAGTCCTGTGCATGCCCCAGACGCCTATCTATAAAAGGGAGATTTGGCTATGCTTACAGATTCTAGAGCAACTGGGGCATGCTTAACACAGAAATGGAGCAGATCCAACCCCAGCCCTAGCCCAGCCCACCAGATGGTTATCCAAATGTGACCCTTGGACCAAAACATTTGGGTGCCCTTGGGAGAGGTGGCTGTGATTTTTCAGGAAATCTGCTACCAATATAGCCTGGATTACCCCTCAGGACCAAGGATGCTGAAATGTTGCATTAGTTGGAATTCAGGCAAGGAAGTTTACTGGATGAAGCCCCAGATTCCCAGTACCTTCCAGCTTACACTTGGAAGATTAATAAACACAATGAGTGCTTCTTCTTCTTCTTCTTTTTAAAAAAGAGGTGCCAGAACTCTCAAGACTGAAATGACGTTTTCAGTTTGCATGCTGAAAACTCATGAGCTTTTAAACATTTTAAAAAGAATTTTGGAAAAGAGGTTCTGGAACTCCGTTCCGGCATGTTCCCCCAGCAATGAACACAATCAGTACTTTAGAATTCTTCCTGATGGTAACTGAACAGTTACAGCTACCAGTTCATCTGGAATAAGCAATTGCAATTCCAGACCTCATCTAGTGGTTTGATGATTCAGCACCATAAACACTTCTTTGGTTCCAGACTGAAGGATGACCTAGTTTTTGTAGGGTCAGTTTATACTCTGGGCAGCTGCAGATGTCTGGGTGTCTGCAGTAGAAAACACTGTAAAGAATGAAGCAGGCCCACATCACCTTAAAACATGCATCATTTTAAACATGTAATGCAGTAGGGAGTCATGGATAAGTGGGGTATCCTATCCTGGCCATGTATCCACATTTTTTAACAAACATGCTTCTCTGCAATAAACCTAGTTTGTTTTTTACTACTGTGAATTTCTACATCATATAGCTTTAAGATATACCATTTCTGGAGGAAAAAAGCTTCCTAGAATAGGAGGAGGAAGGCACTTGAAACCCAACAAGGTATTCAGCCAATCCTGAAGATTTTCCCATAGGTTTAAAAGCTCAGTTATTCATGCAGATTTCAAGCCCCATAAAATCAGAGTGTTCTCTTGAAGTCTGCTTTATCCAAGGGAGTTGAAATTAATCTGCAGAAATCTCCAGACATTTTAGTTATCCAGTTTCATTGTCAAAACAGAAAAGGAGATATTTTAAGCATAAAACTTTTCATTGCTCTTCGTTCTTGTCTCCAGGATGTTTACCAACTTTAAGGAGGGCTGTCATTGACAGAGAGAACTAACTAGTGATACACAAGTTCCCCCAGGACCAATTTAGAGTGGGCTTGTCTAAAAATAGCTCATCTGGGCTTAATGCAGGTCAGTCCCTGTTTAACTCTGGATCCTAATGGCAGGGCTTGGGAAACTACAGTTCCCACAGATCCCTGTGCTACTGACACTGGTGAGCATGCTTGCAAGAAGCATCCTATGCCCCCAAATTCCTAAAAACTATGGTTTCCTAGGGCTTTTAAACCAAATCTTGGCAAGGAGCAGACATGAAAAACTGGTTGGGTTGCCAAGCGTCTACTGAAGGTGGGGGGAGTCCTACCCCCATCCTCCATTGCCTGTTCTCGCTCCACTGAGAAGTTGGGGAAGAACGGAGGGGTTGGAACAGCATCCTGCAACACCACAACATGCTTTCTGGCTGCATAACTGGAAGTAAGGTCAATACGTTGTGGAAAGTTCCAGGATTTCCCAGAACATGGTTTTCACCATAGAGGTTTGGGGAGATTGTAGAGTGTCCCACAATGCAGTGATGTCACTGCTGGAAATTACATCGCTGTGTCTCAGGATGCTTTTCAATGACTCTCTGCCCCACCCTCAGTCTCCTGGGGTTGCCAGCCAAGGACTGGCTACACTAAACACCAGTTGCCCACCAGGCCAAACAGCCCACAAGGCAATGCTCCCTCTAAGCTGTGGAGTCTTATGAGCAAAAATTCTACTTTGTGAGCTACTGGCATTAAAGTGAACAAGCAGTTTGGCTACTGCATAAATTAGTTTGCTCTGGAGCCATCCTTCCTGAGCTAAGACAAAAATGTGTGAGCCAGAGGCTAAAAAACTGTGAGCTAGCTCACACTAACTCAGCTTAGAGGGAACACTGTCACCAGGATGCCCAACTAGAAAGCACTGGGCAGATCACAGTACATAGCTGATGAGCTAATTTAGGCTGGCTGCTTAACTTAACAGAAAAGTTACCCATAGGGTTCTGTCCTGGAGGGCCTCTGGTGGCCAGAAGCAAGCTGAGCAAAGTGGCCCCTACAAAACTTGCAGCATGGCAGGGTTTGCTCATCTGGTGCCTGGGCCATGACAACAGTGACAATGGCACACCCATTGTCATTGTCACCTGGGCCCAAGCTGAACAGACTTTGCTGTTGGGGCGAAGCTGTAGCACTAGTGACTGCTGAACTTCATTCACATTAGTTCTATAATATGAGAGGCACTGAGTCAGCATGGATACTGTCTCCTTTCAATCCTCTTTTTGTGGCAAAGCAGAAAACCACAGGAGCCTGGAGAGCTCCAGCCAGCTGCTCTTGGACATCATTCCCTGCCATGGTCCCTCCAAACACCACCCTCCCCAGACTCCACCCCCCAAACCTCCAGGAATTTCCCAACCCAGAGGTGGCAACCCTAGCAGCAGGTAGGCTCTTTTGTCCTTCTCAGCAATGTTCTCAGCATCCTTATGGTGAAGGCCATACAGCCCCTCAGGCACGCACGTAGAGCACATTTGATGGCATCTTGCCATGTGCCCAGCTTGTTTAGTTGGTTCCTGTAGGTTTCTGCTTTTCTCTACATTGCCTCTCCCGCCTTAATCTCACTGAACAGGGTATTTGCAGATAACTAAGGCTGATAACTATGGTTGCCAGATGATTTCAACAAAAATACTGAACACACTTAGAAAAATGGCCTGTCCTTTTAATAGAGGCTGAGCACAAGATCATGCAAGGCAAACACCCTGTCTGCATCCCTCCCTCCAAGGGACTCTCTGTCTCCAAACTCTCCAGCCTCCCCTTCATGGTCCCCCAGGATTTCTCTTTCATTTTTTTTTTGAAGATTCAATCCTGCCACCATTTATCCCAACCCCCAGTCAGCTGGAACCAACATGGGAAGCCAACTGATTGGCCACAAAAGTCTCTCCCTTTTCCAGCTTTCTTCAGCTGAGACAGCAGGATTTCTCTGGGAGTGTTCTGCTTGGTGGCTGAGTGGCAAACTTGGTTTTTGTCACACCTTGCTTGCTGCTGCGATGGAGAACAAGAGGACAGGGTGTCACCAATTTATCAAGCTGCAGGGGAAAGAAAGGGTGCATGCATGGAGACTGACCATGGTGGTTGCAGGCTTAATTAGGAAATACTGGACATTTACAGCTTTCTTCAGCATTTTCTCAGTTTATGAACTTGATAGAAAGGGAAAATGCTGGACTGTCCGGTTCAAAGCTGGACACCTGTCAACACTGTCACTATCCTCCCGGTGGGGATGGAGTTCTCCTGGAATTACAACTGACCTCCAGACAACAAAGACCCGTTTCTCCTGGAGGAAATGGCGGCTTTGGAGGATGGACTTGATGGCATCAAGTCCCTGCAGAGCTCCCTCTCCTCCCCCCAGGTCCCACCCGCCGCAGGGCACTGCCCCCAAGTCTCCAGGAACCCCCCAAACCAGAGTTGGCAACCCCAGCTGCAGAACAAACCCAGCCTAAGAACTGTATTAACTAAATTCTGTTACATTCGTATTTTAAATGACACAAAGACATTTTATTTCCCTGGAATGTTCAACAAAGAAACTGCATGCCACCCAGAAGGTCAAAATGCCATCAGTTTGTTTATCGATTTCATTTTATGCTCTTGGTTTCTGTGTGTTTCATCGTCAGCACTTTGTATCCACACACACACACCCCCAATAACAGAAGGAATAATGAGAAGGATTTGATGGGTGAATAACCCTCTTCATATGTCCTCTCCGTAACCATGATGTGTTTTTTTAAATTCCACAGATTCTGTGTGGGAAGGAAATCCCACGCTGGGTGAACCGCCTGGCCTACTTCAGCTCCTGTATCCCCTTCCTCCAGAGCTGCCTCCCTAAGGAATGGCTGACTCCGGCAGCACTGCAGAGCCACATAAGCCTCGGGCTCCACAAGGAAGAGCAGGGAGACACAACTGATGAGGAATCCCCATCCACTTCTGCAGCTGCTTCAGGCCCTTCGAGAACCTGCAGACATACGAGGGTCTGAACTGTTCCCATTTAACATGCTCTCAGCTCTCCCCCCTCCCCCTTTCGTGCTCATGTTTTTATCTTTCTCCCAAGAACACTGGGGAGTATCATTTCAAGAGGGAGATGAAACTCTTGCCTCTTTTCCCAAGTACTGCTACTATTCAACGAAGTGACTTCTTACTCGAACTACCTTTAAGAGTGTAGAGTTTTAAACTTCTGGGAACAGTATATACTCCTTGATCCACAGAAAACTGCTGAAATCTCTGGGATGCGACAACGTGGACCTGGAGGGAAGCCATATAGAGATGTTCCTTGGCTGGAACTCTTTTAATCCTCTGCCTCCTCCTGTCCCCCCCCCCAAAAAAGCCTTCTCTGCAGTTTCTTCAAGACAGCATCTCACCCATGGTACACCTCCTCCAAGTACCAAAATAACAAACTAGAATCAGAACTTCATTATCTCACCCTGAAGACCAGCAGCAGCTTCTGTTAACCTTCTTATCTTCTTCTCTTTCCTTTTGTAATCACTAGTTTCTAAGTCATCTGAAAGATAAATGAAAGGTGCTGCTATTCTACCATTCTACCACCACAGGGTGGTATTTTTGTGTGAATTAAAATCCTGTGTACCAGATTGAAGGCCTTTCCACCCTTCATGTATAATTGCACAAATAATCTAGAAATGAATGCACAGTTCTGACTTTTATTTGTTCAGGGAGTGCTACAGACAGTGAGAGTCACTACCTTCTTTCTGGGCAGAGGTTCCTATGCCTCTTAACGTCTACATGACATGGAAAAATGAAAAAGGTGCCATGTTTTTCTTTTCAGTGGAGCTCCAAATTTCTCCATGTCATGTAAAAAACTGTGGGCACCTCAGTCTTGAATGGAATTGGCAAACATACCTGAGGCTTGCACTGGCCTGAAGTGGTGGAGCCTTCCTTGGTGCTACCATGGGCAATCTTTGTTTTGAAAACAGTTGTAGAACGTGAGTGTGCTATTGGTGAATGCTTAAAACATACTATGTTTAAAACAGAGGATAACTTGTTTGATAGATGGACCACCATGGACATTTCTGCCATTTCATATTCAACCTGATCAGTGCTGTGCCCAGCAGTTCCCATGCCCTGAGCCAACTTTAAGAACTCCCTGGCTGGAGCAGCTCAAAGTTTCACTGAAGCCAACCATCTGGCAATAGTAGCCAACCAAATTACCATTACAGCTGTAATGGTGACAGCCAGCTCCTGCTTATTCCCAGTATCTGATACTCAGAGACATACGGTCTCTGAACACACAGACTCCATTTACTCTAGCTAAGAACTGTTGATCAACTTATCCTCCATGAATTTGTCTAATCCTTTTTAAAAACCACCTAAGCTAATGGCAATCACCATATGTTGTAGCAATGAATTCTGTAGTTTTATACAGTGCAACAAAGCACTTCCTTCAGTTTGTCTAGCACCTATATCAGATCAGTTTCATTGGGTGACCCTAAGCTTTTCTGTATAGAAGGTATAATTCTTTCTATCTGGCCTCACCAGTTTTAAAAATCTCAGTCAGGTCACTCCAGCCTTGGTCATTTTTGTTCTGAACTAAAAACACCCAACTTTTAAAGGAAAGCCTTAAATGCTCTCAACTCCCTAACCTTTTAAGCAAAAGTTTCTCTATCCTATGTAGGTCTGGGATAGACAGATGAGGCAACAAGAACTTTAGGCAGCACTTAAAATGGGATTGCAGCAACAACTGATGAGACATTGTAATACCTGCAATTGGTAATCCCTTTTCAAAAATAATTCCTAAAATGGAATTGGCCCTTTGTTGTTGCCCTAGCATGCTAAACTGATGTTTTCGATAAGCTCTGCACTACTTGCACTAAAGCCCCATGGTTGCTTTCATTCCTAAAGGACCCTTTTCTAGGTTTTTAGTGGCAGGGAGTGTCATTTCCTGCTGCAGTCTGGACAATGTCCCATGCTTCCCAGTCCTGCTTAGGCCACTGAACCTGCTGTTTGCAAGCATGAAGGCTAGGCTGTCCATTTCTCCTTTAATGAAATCTTGGGATTTTAACAAGAGCCCACAGATTGGGGAATGGTAGATCAAATGCCTTACACAGGAAAGATTCCATCCCTGGCATCTGTGATTAAAAAGTTCTCCAGGAGCAGGGCTAGGGAGGGCCCTGGAGAGTCACTGCCAGAGTAGACCATACTGGGCAATCTAGATCAGTATAAGTCTCTGTGTTGCAAAATGAACCTTCAAAGATCCAGAGAGAAGCTTGGTGCCTTTAACAGCTATGGGATGGACAAACATCCAAGAGGTGCAACTTTTCTCAGCATGGAGATGCAGTAGCCGGGGTTTACTCATGTTATATGTCATTAACTAATCTGGCATATTTTTAGAGCTGATCCAGAAAGTCCAAATGTTCACCCAATAAAAGACTGATTTCCATGTTCAGTTTTACTACTGTGAGTAGTGAGTAATCCCTCTTGACCTCAAACCTACCTAGCAAACTTCTTTACACTCATTAGAAATAGCTCTATGTCCATCATTGTACCTTTCTTTCGCAGCATGATAATTACTAGACAACTACATAGTTGTCAATTTAGCTGGACATCCATGTTGAAAATGTTGCTTTCATCATCCTGGACCTCTAAGGTAAGTATTTATGGATTATTGCTCATATACTGCTAAATTAGAATGTTTGTTCTTATCAGATGTAGAACCACAAACAAGAGCCTGATTAATCTTGAAGGTGGGATGGGACTAGGTTGAGAAAATCTTAAACTGAAAAGATCTTAGAACTGGCAGATGGAACTTCCCTTTTTCAAAGAGAGCATGAAACTCCCTTTGAAGAGATGAAGATTTTTTTATGGTGAAGATTTTTTATGGTGAAATGCTCACACCATGTGCCCAGTCATGGGTGGGAAAAGAGAGCTCCGTGCTGTCCCATACAAATCTCATTGATGTTTTCCCTGTTGCCAACATTCTCACACAGGCTGTGGGCAACAAAAACACAGCCACACAAACATAAGCGGAGCTTCAGCCACATGCACCCATTCCATCCTCTCCCACCCTTGAACTGTTCTGTGGTTCTGGATTCTGCTCCTCATCCTTTCTATATTCCCATCATCTCTGCATTTTCCTGTGAATGGGCCACTGCTGTCTTGTCCATTCACATGTGAAGTTATCACTTTGCTGTATGCTAAGGAAGCCTGGGAATGGGGAGCCTGGCCTTAGTGAAAGTCTCCTGGTGAAGATGCCCTTCTTTGTAGCTTAGGGCCTCATCAGAAAACCATGCTTATTTTTGTAGCCACTAAAACAGTGGCATTCCTCATCCAACACCACTGGAGACTATATCCCAGTCCCTGCAGGGGCTGGGGGGTAACCTTTACATAGAGTGAAGTTGTTATCAGACTGGATCCCTTGCAGCTGAAGGCAACAGCTGTTTGTATGAAAGAACAGGCCTATTTAAGAACATAAGAACATAAGAGAAGCCAATGTTGGATCAGGCCAGTGGCCAATCCAGTCCAACACTCTGTCACACAGTGGCCAAAAATACCAGGTGCCATCAGGAGGTCCACCAGTGGGGCCAGGACATTAGAAGCCCTCCCACTGTTGACCGCCCCCCCCAAGCACCAAGAAGACAGAGCATCACTTGCCCCAGAGTCCCTATCTATACCTTGTGGCTAATAGCCACTGATGGACGTCTGCTCCATATGTTTAATTTGTTTGCTCCAGTGTGGTATAGTTAAAAGTGGAGGACTCTGATGTGGGTTTGATTCCCACTACTCCACATGAAGCCTTCTGGGTGACTTTGGGCCAGTCACTGTTTCTCTCAGAATTCTCTTAGCCCCACCTACCTCATAAGGTGCCTGTTGTGGGGAGAGGAAGGGAAAGGTGATTGTAAGCCACTTTGAGACTGTTTAAGCAGAGTATAAAAACTTCCTCCTCTTCTTCATCACTTCACTCCTTGGCTGGTTGTGGGCTAAATGCAAACAAGCCTCCTTGGATGGCACAGCTAATCTCCCCATGCTTCCCTCCTTTGGCCGGAAGTGGGTGATGGTAACAGGCTGCATCCCTACCAGATACCCTTCCTGTACCAGTGCAATACTTGGTATGTTCTGGGGACTAGGAGGGCTACCGCTCTCTGCAGACTAGGAGAGATTGTGCCCTGATCTGGATAGCCCAGGATAGCCTGATCTTATCAGATCTCAGAAACTAAGCTGGGTCAGCCCTGGTCAGTACTTGGATGGGAGACCAAGGGATACCAGGGGCGTTAGGCAGAGGCAGGCAGTGGCAAACTACCTCTGAATGTCTCTCTTGCCTTGGGAACCCTACAGGGTTGCCATAAGTCAGCTGCGACTTGACAGAAAAGAAACAGAGACCAAGAGAGATTGAAACAGTGCCGGAGACGCTCGGGGATGGCTCTGAGTAGTATGTAGCTCATATATGGAAAGAGAGCCCACTCTCCACAAAGGAAGTTCTTCAGTAAATAGATGACATCAGGTGAAACTAGTTCCCATATCTGACTTAGGGACTGACCAAAATTCGAGTCCAGTGGCACCTTTAGAGCAACAGAGTTTTATTCAAGGTATAAGCTTTCATATGAACGCACTCTTCTTCGGATACATTGAAATGGAAGTTACCAGTCCATACATATAGGTAGAGGCTTAGCAGCAAATCAGCATACAACATAACAAAGATGTTTAACAGATGCAAGGACCAAACAGGAATAACAAGCTTTGTTGGACTTTAAGGTGCCACTGGATGCAATTTTTTTTTTTTTGGTAATTTTGTGTGTGTCGGTGTGTGTATGTGCTTGCGAGCCTGGAAGTCATGGTGACTCCTGGTGATCCCTAGCGGGGCTAGGACATTTCAGAGAGGTGGCTTATATTATCTGCCTCTGCATCATGGCCCTGGTATTCCTTGGAGGTCGCCCTTCCAAGTACTTGCCAGTGTCAGTCCTGCTTAGCTTCCGAAATCTGATGAGATTGGGCTTGCCTGGGCTATCCACGTCAGGGCACTGGACTTGAA